AAAAAAAAAAAAAAAAAAAAAAGGTAAAAATAATATCCTTTAAATTATGTATATTTGTCACAATTTTAATTTTAAAAAAAATTTTAAAAACCTAAGTATGTATTTTATTGCAGGCTTAATCACACAGACAAAATAATTATTTTAAGTATTTAAGAATGCAGAGTTTTGACTACATATCCTTTGACATATAGCATAAAGCCAAAAAACACTGCTAAAAAAAGAAACAGTGACATCAATTCAATAATCTTACCAATAATATTCATATTGTTAATTTTAAAGCCATTTATGTATATTTTAGCAAAAAACAGTTATGCTAATGTTAAGAGCCAAGATATTCAGTATAAGATAAAAAGATATAAATATAGAATCAAATAAGTAAAAAACCATTTTATATCTTAAATTTGAATTCATATTTTGCTTTTTGCTTTTTAACAATAATTCTTATCATTCAAAAACTTAAAAGCAAAGGCAACCCAAAAGCAAAGTGCACCTTAGTCCTTATAAGATGATCTCCAACCATCACTCCACTCTCAAAGAAATCAGAAACATATTATTGTGCCAAAAAGCAAGGAAGCATTTTGAACACAAATAAGGTCCTGTCAAAATGACAAACATCACCTTGAAGGTACTCCCACTAGCTAAAGCTGAGATCATTTTCACATCAACAAATAACACTGACTGCAAATGATTGATATACACTAAATATATATAAATCCATGAGTTTATGAAACATATATAAATCCATGAGTTAGTCAACTGATCTTTGACAAAGGAAAAAAGGCAATACAATGAGAAAAGATAGTTGTTATTGTCTGAATGTCCCCCACCAAAACTCATGTTGAAATTTAATTGCAAATGTAATGATATTGAGAAGTGAGACCTTTAAGAGGTGACTAGGTCAGGGGAGCTCCACCCTCATGAATGGATTGCCATTATTGTGAATATGGATGAGTTATCACAGGAATGGATTTGTTATAAAAACAAGCCCTATCTCACGCCTGTAATCCCAGCACTTTGGGAGGCCAAGGCAGGCAGATCACCTGAGGTCAGTAGTTCAGGACCAGCCTTGGCCAACATGTTGAAACCCCATCTCTACTAAAAATACAAAAAATTAGCCAGGTGTGGTGTCAGGCACCTGTAATCCCAGCTACTCGTGAGGCTGAGGCAGGAGAATCACTTGAACCCGGCAGGCAGAGGTTGCATTGAGCCAAGATTGCACCGTTGCACTCCAGCCGGGGGACAAGAGCGAGACTTCATCTCAAAAAAATAATAATAAGCTCTCTGTCACACCTGCTCTCTTGCCCTTCCTAACTGCTATGTTATGATATAGACAGGATCTTACCAGAGAAAGGTGCCATGTGCTTACACTCCCCAGCATCCAGAACTGTGAGCCAAATAAACTTCTTTATAAATTACCTAGTATGTGAGATTCTGTAATAGCAGCAAAAAAAAAAAGGGGGGGGGAGTGCTAAGACAACAGTCTTTTCAACAGATGGAAATGAAACAATTAGACAGCCACATGCAAAAAAAAAAAAAAAAAAAAAACCCTAAACACAGACCTTATACTCTTCATAAAAACTAACTCGAGGTGAGGCATAGTGGTTCATGGCTATAATCCTAGCAATCTGGGGGGGCAAAGGCGAATCACTTGAGCCCTGGAGCCCAAGAACAGCCTGGGCAACATGGTGAGCCCTGTCTTAATAAATTTAGGCTGGGCACAGTGGCTCACACCTGTAATCTCAGCACCACGGGAGGCCCAGAAGGGTTTGGATCACCTGAGGTCAGGAGTTCAAGACCAGCCTGGCCAGTGTGGAAAAACCCTGTCTCTGCTAAAAATACAAAAATTAGCCAGGCCTGGTGGCAGGTGCCTGTAATCCCAGCTACTCAGGAGGCTGAGGCAGGAGAATTGCTTTAACCCAAAATGTGGAGTTTGCAGCGAGCCAAGATCATGCCCCTGCACTCCAGCCTGGATAACAGAGCAAGACTCCATCTCAAAAATAAATAAATAAGTAAAATTTAAATTTAAATTTAAATTTAAAAAAATTAACAGCCGGGCACAGTGGCTTATGCCTGTAATCCCAGCACTTTGGGAGGCCAAGGCGGGCGGATCACAAGGTCAAGAGATAGGGGCCATCCTGGCATACATGGTGAAACCCCGTCTCTACCAAAAATACAAAAATTATCTGGGCATGGTAGCCCAAGCCTGTAGTACCAGCTACTGGGGAGGCTGAGGCAGGAGAATTGCTTGCATCTGGGAGGTGGAGGTTGCAGTGAGTTGAGTTTGTACCCCTGTACAAACTCAGCCTGGCAACAGAGTGAGACTCTGTCCCCCAAAAAAATAATTAACTCAAAATGGACCACAAACCTAAATGTAAAACACAAAACTATAAACCCTAGAAGATAACACAGGAGAAAATGACTAAGCTTTGTCAATTTTTTTTTTTTTTTAGATAGAACACCAAAGGCACAATCCATGAAAGAATAAGCTGGACTTCATTAAAATTAAAAATGCCAGCTCTTTAAAAGATATTGTCAAGAGTAAAAAGACAAGTCATAGACTAGAGGAAAATATTTACAAAAGACATACCTGATAACGGACTATTATCCAAAATATACAAAGAACTCTTTAAACTCAACAGTAATATAATAAACAACCAAATTAAAAAATAAGGCAAAGACCTTAATACAGATATCTTTAAAAAGAAGATATACAGATGGCAAATAAGCATATGAAAAGTTGCTCCACAGCATACACCATCAGGGTAATGCAAATTAAATCAATGGGATACCACAACACACCTAGTAGAATGGCCAAAATTCATAACACTACCACCACCAAATGCTGACGAGGATATGGAGAAGCAGGAACAGGAATTCACTGCAGGTGGAAATACAAAACGGCACAGCTACTTTGGAAGACAGTTTGGCACTTCCTTACAAAACTAAACACACTCTTATATACAATTCAGTAATCACACTCCTCGGTATTTACCCAAGTGAACTGAAAACTTCCGTCCACACCAAAACTTGCGCACAGATGTTTAAAGTAGCTTTATTCATAACAGCTAACGCTTGGAATTGACCAAGACGTTTTCCAGTGGGTGAATGAATAATTTACTAGTACATCCAGACAATATAATATTCTCCAGGGTTAAAAAGAAATGAGCTATTAAGCCATGAAAAGACAACGAAGAAACTTAAATGTATACTAATTTAAATATGAAGTGAAAGAAGCCAATCTGAAAATGCTACATACTGTATGATTCCAACTATATGGATTTCTGGAAAAGGCAAAACTATGAAAAAAAGTGAAAAGATCAATGGTTGCCAAGAATTAAGGGGAAGGGAAGAATGAATAGACAGAACACAGTGGATTTGTAAGGAAGTGAAAGTGCTCTGTATGGTATTATAATGATAGATACATAAAAATTTGTCCTAAAACCCACAGAATGTACACTACCAAGAGTGAACCCTACTGTAAACTGCAGACTCTACATGATAATGATATATCAATGTAGGTTCATGAATTCTAATAAATATACCACTCTAGCGGGGAATGTTGATAATAGGGGAGTCTATGCATGTATGGGGGAAGGAAGTATATGGAAAATCTCTGTAACCTTCACTCAATTTTACTGTGAACCTATAACTACTCTAAAAAGTAACTTCTGTTTTTCAAATATATGAATTTTCTTTTCTCAAGAAAAAGAAAATCAAAAGAAAACTAAGCAAACCTCAGTGATGACTATTGCAATAGCCAGTGTACCAACTCTTAAACTTAGTAATCAAAGAAAAACAATTTAGTATTTATCCTTACTAAATTTTTTTTAGTAAAACAATTTAGTATTTATCCTTACTGTTGAGTTTGAAGGGTTCTTTATATATTTTGGATAATAGTCCATTATCAGGTATGTCTTTCTTTTGTAAATATTTTCCTCCAGTCTATGACTTCTCTTTTTACTCTTGACAATATCTTTTGAAATAGCCCTGGCTGATGTTTAAAAGTTCTTTACAGAAAATTTTCAGTTAACATATGTAGAAGCAATGAAAGATTTAGAGATCATTTTGCAAATACTGCTGAAATCTAACCCAAATGATATCATAAAATCTTCTCTGAATGTTCTCACTCAAATAAGAAATCTTTCCACCCTTTAAACTCGACTCTGTCCCTTATTTATATTTCCTCTTACAGCACTTACTCATAATACAAGGAAGAACAAAGTGGTGTCAGTGGTAGTTTGTTATGGTAATTACCATCAATGAATCAGGCCTATGTTTTCATGCCCTTGTAATTCTCTTATGTAATCCTCCCCTACATAAACTCTGGACTAGCCATGAGATTTGCCTTGTAGCAGCAAATGAGATACAAGCAGAGACTTGGGAGATGTCTGTCTGCACGATGGGATTTGTCCTCTTGCTGGAAACTCCTCTGCCACCACATAAACCCAGACTAGCCTTGGACACATGTGACCCAATGGATAAAACTAGCAATATGAGTGAAGGTACCTTAGATCATCCATTCTGTTTTCCACCTTATTTTCTTTTTATAGATTTGGTGAGTACAAGTGCAGTTTTGTTAGACCGGCATATTGTATAGTGGTGAAGTCTGGGCTTTTAGTGTACTCACCACCCTAATAATGTCACTGTGTACAGAATAGGTAATTTTTCAACCCTCACTCTCCTTCCAGCCTCACCCTTCCCCCATTTCCATCTTTATGCTTATCTGTATCCATTGTTTAGCTCCCACTTATAAGTGAGAACATGCAGTATTTAACTTTCTAAGTGATTTCACTTAGGATAACAGCCTCCAGTTCCATCCCTGTTGCTATAAAAGATATGATCTCATTGTTTTTTATGGCTGAATAGTATTCCACGGTATATATAAACCACATTTTCTTTATCCAATCATCTGTTAATGAACATTTAGGTTGATTCCATGACGTTGCTATGGTATAAAGCACCATGATAAATAGCCATGTGCAGATATGTCTTTCTTATACAATGATTTTGTTTTCCTTTGGATATATACTCAGTACTGGGACTGCTGGATTGAATTGCAGTTCTGTTTTTTTGTGACAAAGTATCGTTCTTGTTGCCCAGGCTGGAGTGCAATGACACAATCTCGGCTCACCACAACCTCTGCCTCCCGGGTTCAAGCAATTCTCCTGCCTCATCCTCCGGAGTAGCTGGGATACCAGGCATGCACCACCACACCCGGCTGATTTTCTATTTTTTAGTAGAGACAGGGTTTCCCCATATTGATCAGGCTGGTCTCAAACTCCCGACCTCAGGTGATCTGCCCGCCTCGGTATCCCAAAGTGCTGGGCTTACAGTCATGAGCCACCGTGACCAGCCCTGTATTTAGCTCTTTGAGAAATCTCCACACTGTTTTCCACAGAGGCTGTACTAATTTACATTCCACCAACAATGTATAGGCATTCTCTTTTCTCCACATCCTTACCATCTGTTTTTTGGTTTTTTTTTTTATTTTTCGTAACAGTCATTCTGACTGATGTAAGACGGTATCTCGTTGTATTTTTAATTTGCATTTCTCTGATGATGAGGGATGTTGAGCATTTTCTCATGTTTATTGGTCACTTGTATGTCTTCTTTTGAGAAATACCTGCTCATGTCCTTTGCTTTTTGATCGGCTTATTTTTTCCTTATTGCATTCCATGTAAATTCTGGATGTTAGTCCTTTGTCAGATGCATAGTTTGCAAATATTTTCTCCCATTTTGTAGGTTGTCTGTTTACTCTGTTGATTATTTCTTTGGCTGCGCAGAAGATTTTTACTTTAATTAATTCCCATTTTTCTATTTTTGTTTTTGTATTTGCTTTTGAGCTCTCAGTGATAAACTCTTCACCCAGCCCAAAGTCCAGAAGAGCGTTTCCTAGGTTTTCTTCTAGAATTTTTAGTTTAAGGTTTTTTTGTTTGTTTTTGAGACAGAGTCTTGCTCTGTCACCCAGGCTGGGGTGCAGTGGCGTGATGTTGGCTCACTGCAACGTTTACCTCCCAGGTTGAAGCAATTCTCCTGCCTCAGCCTCCTGAGTAGCTGGGATTACAGGTGTGTGCCACCACACCCAGCTAATTTTTGTCTTTTTAGTAGAGACATAATTTTACTATGTTGGCCAGGCTGGTCTTGAATTCCTGACCTCAGGTGATCCTCCTACCTCATCCTCCCAAAGCACTGGGATTACAAGTATGGACCGCCACATCCAGCCTAGTTTGAGGTCTTACATCTAAGTCTTTAATCCCTCAGTTATCTTCTGTATATGGTGAGAGATATGGGTCCGGCTACGTTCTTCTGCATATGGCTAATTTTCCCAGCACCATTTACTGAATGAATTATCCTTTCCCCACTGCATTTCCCTACCTCCACCACACCCTTGGGTCTCCCTCTACCACTCACCCACCAGCCCAGGCCTCGAGGGCCTCTGATCCTGCCGTCACTTGCCCCTCGCCCTGCACTCAAATGCCAGGCCCGTCATCAGAAGCCCAGTGCAAATTTTTGTCAACTTCATCAAATATCAGTAAGTTATAAGTATACGGCTTTTTTTTTCTGGGTTATCTATTCTGTTCCATTGGCCTGTGACTATTTTTATACCAGTACCATACTGTTTTGTTTACTGTAGCCTTATACCATAATTCGAAGTCAGGTAATTTCATGCCTCCCACTTTGTTCTGCTTAGGATCACTTTGGTTATTCACACTCTTTTTTGGTTCCACATGAATTTTAGAATTGTTTTTTCTAATTCTATGAAAAATGATGTTGGTAATCTGATAGGAATTGCACTGAGGTTGGGCACACTGGCTCACATCTGTAATCCCAGCACTTTGGAGACCAACGTGAGAGGATCACTTGAGGCCCAGAGTTCAAGATCAGCCCCTGGGCAACATAGCAAGACCTTGTCTCTACAAAAATATTTTTTTTTTTTTCTTTTTGAGGAGTCTTGCTCTGTCACCCAAGTTGGAATGCAATGGCGTGATCTCAGCTCACTGCAACCTCCGCCTCCAGGGTTCAAGCAATTCTCTCACCTCAGCCTCCCGAGTAATTGGGAGTACAAGCGCGCACCCCCACAGCTGACTAATTTTTGACTTTTTAGTACAGATGGGGTATCACCATGTTGGCCAGGCTGGTCTCCAACTCCCAACCTCAGGTGATCCACCCGCCTCAGCCACCCAAACTGTTGGGATTACAGGTATGAGCCACCATGCCTGGCCCAATAAAAATACTTCTAAAATTAGCTGGGCATTATGGCATGTGCCTATAGTCCCAGCTATTGAGGGCACTGAGGCAGGACTGCTTGAGCCCAGGAGGTCAAGGCTGCAGTGAGCTATAAATGTGGCACTGCACTCCAGCCTGGGCAACAGAGTGAAACCCTTTCTCAAAAAAATTAAAAAAAAAAAAAAAAAAAGCCCAGAATTGCATTGTATCTGTAGATTACTTTAGGCAGTATTGACATTTTAATGATACTGATTCTTCCAATCCATGAACATGGGATGTATTTGTGTCATCTGTGATTTCTTTCATCATCTTTTCACTGTTCTTGACTTCATCATATCTGCTTGATCATTACTGGTATATAAATATGCCACTAATTTTTGTACATTGATTTTGTATCCTAAAACTTTACTGAAGTCTTTTATCAAACCTAGTCTTCTCTAGATATATGATCATATCATCAGCAAACAGAGTTAATTTGACTTCCTCTTTCCAATTTGAATGCCTTTTATTTCTTTCTCTTGTCTGACTGCTCCAGCTAGAACTTCCAGTACTATGCTGAATAGGAGTGGTGAAAGTGGGCATCCTTATCTTGTTCCAATTCTTAGAGGAAATATTTTCAACCTTTCTCCATTTCATGTGATGTTAGCTATGGGTCTGTTGTGTGTGGCTTTTATTATTTTGAGGTATGTTCTTTCTATGTCTAGTTCGTAGATTTTTATCATGATGGGATGCTGAATTTTATTGGATGTTTTTTCTGCATCTATTGAGTCCATCTTTTTTTGTTGTTGTTGTTAAGTTTTTAAGTTAAAAAAGAAACTGGAAAGCTAAATGACAACTGCCAATCTGCTTTTGATGTTATTTGACAATAACATCTACAACTTTAATGAGCAACACCGAATACAGTTGCCTATTATTAAATTATTAATGCTAAATTGAATGTAATTCCTATTCAACTTTTCTTTCAAAGTGGTCTCTAAGAGCTCATCCTCCCTATTGCACTTGACTCTAGCCCTCTCCAAAATTTCTCAAGTGTAGACCAGGCACAATGGTTTACACCTGTAATTCAGGCACTTTGGCAGTCTGAAGTGGGAGGACCACTTGAGGACAAGAGTTTGAGACCACCCCGGGCAACATACTGAGATCCCATCTCTACCAAAAAAATTTTTTTTTTTAATTAGCCAGGTGTGGTGGTGTGCACCTATAGTTCCAGCTACCTGAGAGGCTGAGGTGGAAGGATCATTTGAGCACAGGAACTAAAGACTGCAGTGAGCTATGATCACAGCACTGCATTTCAGCCTGGGCCTTGTCTCTAAAAAACATAAAAGACAAATTTCTCAAGTCCCAGCACACAATATGCTTCTGCCTCCTGAGTCTTTCCTGCCTAACCAACTAGCACACAGTACTACACCACACCAAAGAAAGGGGTCAGAAGCAAACACCTATCTAAATGCAATTGATTTAGTGCTCCAAAAACCAAAGTCCATCCAAATCTAGACACAGTGATTCAGAATATGGAAGTTGGAGTCACACAGGTCACACAGACCTATAATTGACAACTTCTAGTTTAGCCATTTAGAAACTTTGTAAATTTACTTCTCTAAGCCTGAAATTCCCATTTGTAAAGTGAAACTAATAATGTCACCCTCACAAAATTGTTGTAAAGATTAAATAAATAATAAACATTAAATGTTTACATTAATGCCTGGCATTATGGTAGATACACTGTAAACAGTAGATACATATTATTATTAAGTACACCTCTCTGCACAAATAAGACCTAGAATCAAAATGTAAAAGCTGTCCAGGCACAGTGGTTTATGCATGTAATCCCAGCACTTTGGGATGCTGAAGTGAAAGTTTAACTTGAGCCAGGAGTTCAAGACTAGCTTGGATAACAAAGTAAGACCCCATCTCTACAAAAAGAGTACAAAAAATTAGCCAGGAGTGCTGATGTGAGCCTGTAATCCCAGCTACTAGGGAGGCTAAACCAGAAAGATCACTTAAGCCTGGAAAGGTTGAGGTTGCAGTGAGTCATGACCATGCTACTGCATTCAGCCTAGACAACAGAGAAAGAACCTGTCTCAAAAACAAAACAAAACAAAATAAAACAAAAACAAAATGTAAAAGTTAAAAGGTACTCAGAAATCATTTGGTCCAATGGCAATCACTTCATACATGAAGCAACTGAACCCTAGGAAGAATAGCTGGCTTGCCTGACAACACTCTGCTATCTAATGGTAGAGTGGTAGTTAACACTTAGGTTTCTGGGATCTCAACTGATATTCTCCCTACAATCTCAAAATGTTTCTTGTTCATCTCTCTAATACCAATTAAGACTAACTTCTCTAATCTCTACTTCTTCATTAATAAACTATAGGGACAGGATGAGTTCACACAGGTCCTTCTAGCTCCAAAATTCTCATTCTGTGATTCATTTGGAGCCATAAATTGGCTGACTTAAAAATATGTCAAACATATTTCCAATATCTGTATATGCTTAGTTTTCTTATGGTCATATTTAAAACTCTAAAACTTAAGTTACTAGTTACATCAAAATAATTTGCCTCTCACAAGCAACCAAGTCAGTAAGAGACTGAGAGCATTAGAACTCATTATAGATAAGTTCCTAGTACCTAAATTGGGTTTACAGAAATCATAGAATTAACTTAATATTAAGTGAAATAATAGAAGTTTTAAAAATACTCACCATATGATTAAAATTGACTTACACATTTTAGGCAAGTTTAAAGCATGGGGTGTTTTGATTCATCAAATATGAAAAGACAAATACAAAAACATACCAAAATAAGGGTTAACAGTCTACTTTAAAGAAGAAGCCACTTTTCATTTTATTTAAGTCTTAAACTTACTTAATGGAACAGGGAAATGTACTGACAATAAAATTTCTTGAACAGAGCATCTGTGGATCATGCTCAAAATCATGGACTATGAAACGATCTTAAAAATCTGTTTGATGGCTGGGCACAGGGGCTCACACCTGTAATCCCAGCATTTTGCGACGGCCAAGGCAGGCAGATCACTTGAGGCCAGGAGTTTGAGAACAGCCTGGTCAACATGGCAAAACCCATCTCTACTAAAAATACAAAAACTAGCCAGGCATGGTGGCGTGTGTTTGTAGTCCCAGCTATTTGGGAAGCTGCGGCACGAGAATTGCTTGAACCTTTAAGGCAGAGGTTGCAGTGAGCCTAGATCGCACCATTGCACTCCAGCCTGGGCAACAGACTGAGGCTCTGTCTCAACAACAACAACAAAAATATGTTAGGTAACACTTTATAATCTAACAGAAATTTGAATCTACTGGCTTTAGATTCCCATTATAAAAGATATACAGAATATCAGTTTTGAAGAAGTAGGCCACAAAATTCATAAAATTAAAATGCATCCTGAATATAATCATTTTCTATAATGCAAAAATCATAAAAGAGGCTATCCAATAGTAGATGACTGTCATAACTTGGGTTCCCAAGGAAACATACTCTGAAACTGAAATCTGCATATAAGAGGTTTATTGGGAAGTAATCTCAAGAACAACACCTGTGTGGGCAGAGGAAGCATGATTGGCTAGAGAGAGAAGTTGAACAGTACTGAACAGTAACACAATTGCAACAGCAACCTCAGTGAATCCTAAGAGTTCTAAAGCTGGGACAGTCTTTCATATAAGGCCCTAATAAGGCAAAGCATATCTTCCACATTAATCAGTAATTAAATGCAGGCTTCTTCCAGGAAGAAGACATAATCTTGGGTGCTTCTTTCTACAAGGGCAAGTCTGAGAAAAAGACGCAATTATGAGCCTTTAGCAGCCATGACTCCAGGCAGCTAAAAGAAGGTGTCTCCATCCTGAATAGGGATCTAGGTGTCACACTATAATAATGTACCTTACTTGCCTTTGAAATATCACAAAGGGCTATACACTGGAGGGACAAAGATCTTAGTAAAGAAGGAGACCTAACATCTTCTGGAGCCTACTATGTGGCAGCTGCTGTGATAGTCATCTTACATAAGTTACCAAATTTTATCACTGAATCCTAAATTCCTGAAGATACTTGATTTTTCTAAGCAAAGGTGCTGGAAATTAGGGTAAAAGGTATCAGGATTTGTTATATAAACACACCTAAAATGCTACTTTGGGGCTGAAATGAACTGCAGACTCAACATCCGGGTTTTTTTCTTAGTTTTCAACTAAAACTTTTATCAGGAAGAGCATTTTAGAGATCACCTAGCTGAAAAGCACAGTGGATCACATCTGTAATCCTCAGCCCTTTGGGAGGCTGAGGCTAAAGGATTTCTTGAGCTTAGGAGTTCAAGACCAACCTGGGCAACATAGTGAGACCCCCACTTCTCTACAAAAAATACAGAAAATAGCTGAGTATGGTGGCATGTGCCTGTAGTCCCAGCTACTTGGGATGCTGAGGCAGGAGAATCTCTTGAGCCCAAGAAGTTAAGGTTGCAATGAGCCATCAAGACTGTCTGAAAAAAGAAGGCCGGGCACGGTGGCTCATGCCTGTAATCCCAGCACTTTGGGAGGCTGAAGCAGGCAGATCACCTGAGGTCGGGTGTTTGAGGTCAACCTGACCAACACGGAGAAACCCCATCTCTACTAAAAATACAAAATTAGCTGGGTGATGCAGGAGTGAACAGCTACAGCTGGGTCCCGTGTTTAGGCCTGTGAATTACAAACTAAAACATGATTGATTAGCTGCACAAACCGACACTAAGCAGACATACAGTGTAGTTATGAGATAAAGAGTACTTGAAGGACTTGAGGTAATCAGAGTTTCAACCCAGCCAAAGACTCAAAAAACCATAGATTCTGAGTGTGCAGAAGCCATGGTATTAAGAAAAAAAACTAGTGCAGAGAGTAAGAAAATTATTTAACAGCAGAAACAAGGATGCAAACAGGTGAACCGAGTCCTTTAATAGCTAAACCCTACAGTGAAAAATCTATAAAGCCCTGTCACAGAGCTCCCAAAGAGCACTGCCTTAATCCCGCAAAGCCTTCCAGTAAAAATGTCTCAGAGGCTCAGCCCAATTTTGGTCCTAGATTTCTATGAAATTCTACCTTTCTTTATTGCAGAATGTATCCTTATAACCATTACTAACCTATTTGAGCTAACCTAATATTCTTTACTCCTAGAACCAAATGAATTTAATCATAACCATTATCACTGTTACAGAGGCATGGTAAAGTTTATTTCTAGAAGAATGACCTACATACAAAAGGTGTGTTTCATGGTGCCACAACTCCTAGAAGATAGAATATTACCCCATCCCCAACCTTGGTTGACTAGACCAGCACTGGACACTTGACCCAGAGGAAACAACTCTATTGGTCATCCAGAGACCTATGCGTGACCTGACAAGAAAAGACGAGAAGAACGTTTTAGATTCTTCTCTTGGGATTTTGGAAATGAGACACTAGGCCAGTTGGCTATACAAAGTTAATGTGAAAGGCATGTGGAATCATGTCAGACGGCCATTGAAATGCTGGCCAGACTTAGTAAGCAGCAGCAAGAAGAGGAATAGGCACAGAGAAGTGGAGACAAGAAGCCAGTGGTCCCTCAAAGAGTGTGAAACAGAGAAAAGAGCTGCCTATGTTCCTGACACATTCTAGATTCTACTCTCCAGAGACCCAACTAGCTATACAGTAATTCCAGACCTTGGATCACTATGAAACCTTACAATAAATCCCCCTTTCAACTTAAACTAATGTGAGGAGATCTGTAATCCTTGAAAATAAAGTTATTAACCAGGCACGGTGGCTCACGCCTGTAATTCCAGCACTTTGGGAGGCCGAGGCAGGTGGATCACGAGGTCAGGCGGTCAAGACCATCCTGGCCAACGTGGTGAAACCCCGTCTCTGCTAAATATACAAAAATTAGCTGGGTGTGGTGGTGTGCCTATAGTCCCAGCTACTCTGGAGGCTAAGGCAGGAGAATCACTTGAACCAAGGGCGTGAAGGTTGCAGTGGGCAGAGATTGCGCCACTGCACTCTAGCCTGGGCGACAAAGTGAGACTCTGTCTCAAAGAAAAAAAAAAAAAGAAAAAGAAAAAGACAATAAAGTTATTAGAAGATGGTCTAAGAATGACAGATTACATTAATGCATTTAATATTTTAATACATTAATGCATTTAATATTTCAATACTTTTCATGTAGTCTGTACTCCATTTCTATTCCCTTACTTCCTAGTCATTCATTTTCCACTATGACTCTCTTGAAACTGAAACAGGTATGACCCAATTGTCGCATTCAGTGGGCACTTCTCAGTCCTTATTTGACTCACTTCTCTTCCAACATTTACACATATCTAACACCCGCCTTTACTTGTCTTCTAAGTGCTAGACCTGTATTTCCTCCTGCCTACTTAACATCACTGGGAAGTCCAGACCTCTGGTTCACATTTATCTTCCCCAACCTTTTCCTCCTCCTCCATCCTAAACCTTGGTCTATTCCACCACCCTCACAGCTACCCAAACTACTCACAAGTCAACAAGTTATATCAATTCTATCCCTCTTCTTGAAAATCAGTTTATTCTCTCTCTATCCCCAAAACCGCTGCCTGAATTCAAGCTTTCATTATCCCCTAGACCAAAGACCAGAGGTCCAGAAATTCTGATTCACTTGAGAAGCTCAAAAATCTGGCTTGTTTTAAAGAATTCCAAACGATTCCAATATGCACGATTGTAAGAACTACAATAGTTTCCTTTGTTTTTCTTCATGATTTTAAGAACTACAATAACTTTCTTTTTTTTTTTTTCTTTTTTTTTTTTTTTTGAGACAGAGTTTCACTCTTGTTGCCCAGGCTGGAGTGCAGTGGCACAATCTTGGCTCACCGCAACCACACCTCCTGGGTTCAAGTGATTCTCCTGTCTCAGCCTCCTGAGTAGCTGGGGCTACAGGTGTGCACCACCATGCCAGGTTAATTTTGCATTTTTAGTAGAGATGGGGTTTCTCCATGTTGGTCAGGCTGGTCTCGAACTCCCGACCTCAGGTGATCTGCCCGCCTCAGCCTTCCAAAGTGCTGGGATTACAGGCGTGAGCACTGCGCCCGGCCAAGAACTACAATAAGTTTCTAGCTGATCTCTCCTTAATGAAGTAATCCTCTCTATAGGACCAACAAGTAGGCAATATATATTACTGAAAAACTATTAGGTATCAAGCACCATGTTAGACTGAAACATACAAAAAAAAGGACAACAAAATCTTTACCCTAAGGGAGCTCACAGTCTAATAGAAGTCAAATAAACAAATTATAAAAGCAACATAAATTTTCTAGAGATATGTAATATAATATCTGTTACATAATAAGTGTTTTCTAGAGATATGTAATATAATATCTATTATATAATAAGTGTTTATTAAACGCTGGAAACCCTGGTGAGTGCTTCATGAACATTATTTCATTTAATCCCTCATTAGCACTGTGAAGTAGATATTACCTTCAACTTATAGATTAAGCAATTAAGGTCTCAGAAAGCTTGAAATTTTGCATAAGTTGTTACCTCGTGAGTAAAAAAAGCCCAGTACTTAAATAATGGTCTAATTCCAAAAACCTAGTATCATAATTAGTATAGGGTGCTTTGAGCAGAGGGAAAAAAGGAAGCAAATAATTTCTAGTGTCATCTGAACTGAGCAACATGGACAACTGAGAGAATGGGTAAATTGTGAGAAACACAATTAGTGAGAAACGGCAAGATCAATGCATATACACAGGGATATGGAGACAATCCTGAAGTGGGAGCACAACATAACGGCCTTTTGTCCCAATGTAAAAAGTCTACACATCTCCTATGGACACTGAGTTGTCACCAACATATTTTAGGCAGAAGAGTGACTCAACTGATTTGTTTATATAAAGATTATCTCAGGCATGGTGGCTCCCACCTATAATTTGGGAGGCTGAGGTGAGCAGATCGTCTGAGGTCAGGAGTTCAAGACCAGCCTGGCCAACATGACGAAACCCAATCTCTACTAAAAATACAAAAAAAAAAAAAAAAATTAGTCAGGTGTGGTAGTGCACACCCATAGTCCCAGCTACTCAGGAGGCTGAGACAGGTGAATTGCTTGAACCCAGGAGATGGAGATAGCAGTGAGCAGAGATTGTGCCACTGCACTCCAGCCTGGGTGACAGAGCAAAACTCTGTCTCAAAATTAATTAATTAATTAATTAATTAAAATATAAAATAAAGATTATCTGGGAGAAGTATTTTGGGAGGGTTTTCCTTATTACAAATTTGATAACTTTAAAATTATCTGTGGCTCCTTACTGTCTACAGTATAAGGTCCAAAACCCTTCAAGCTACCTGTTGCAACCACCCCATCCACATGCAGAAATATTCACAATCCCCCTACTCTATACTAAACTATATCATGCTTTTGGATTTGTCTAGTTCCTATCCCAAAATGCCCTTCTCTCCATTGTCCCTCCTTGCCTGAGTCACTTCCATCCTCTGCAAAGACTTCCTCAATCTCTATTCCTTGCCCTTCCATACCACACCCCCTCTCTGCCACATAGTTACTTTTTCTTTTGTGCTTACAAACTCTTCTTCTGTGTATCTATCACAAAACTTAATCACGTTGTTTTGTAATTATCTGTCTCCTCCATTAAAACTC